TGATAATTCTTTACCATTATAAGCCCAGAAGGGCGCCGTTGTGAAATAACAGCACGAAACTTACTTTTCCTTTACTTTATTTATGGAACACTTATAATCGTTCGTTTCAGTTTCACGACTACAATCGCACTGAACGCTTTCGCTCCATCTTACACCAAGAAGCATCTTTTTAAAAAACAACACTGATGCCTGATTGGTCGGTTACCATCGACCAATCAAACATCAACCGGAAATGCTTCTTATAATCAGTTACCAATATTTATTTACTGATTAATAATGTATGATTTACATAAATAAACGGAAAGATTAATTAAGTAAATCATACCATAGGTTTATTAAATTGTAACACTTGATAAGTCCGTTTCGTAGATCTATTAACAATTCAACCGGTGTGTTTAAAAATCGTTGATATACTCTCAATCGGATGTATCGAAAAAAGATTTATAAAATAAGAATGGATACCGGAAGTATTTGTTAAATGATTTATGAAATTATAAGTATTACACCCAAATACCATCCTACATATCAATTGATAAGGGAAATAGATAAATGAACTATAACAACTCGGCCATCCGCTCGATGACGAGTCCCTTCGTAACTGCCAAGCACATAGCATTTAAGTGTAAGATCTTGTACATACGTAAATAATCTTAGGAACATTTAAACATTCATTAGAGAAATAAACATATTTACTATTAATATGCATAATATATATCTCCTTTAATATTTTTCCACATTAATGTAAAACGTATCGGTATAGTACTTACTACCATCATACAATAAACTTAAAATTAATAACCCTAGTTCATGACCTTAACTGGGTATTAACTATATGTGCCCGGTCCATGACGTTGACCGTTACCGACACATATTTTATTATTGCTTTAGTTCATGACCTTAACTGGGTATTAACTATATGTGCCCGGTCCATGACGTTGACCGTTACCGACACATATTTTATTATTGCTTTAGTTCATGACCTTAACTGGGTATTAACTATATGTGCCCGGTCCATGACGTTGACCGTTACCGACACATATTTTATTATTGCTTTGGTTCATGACCTTAACCACCGCAGCAAGACTTAAAACGTTAAAGTTTCTGTCACTTTTATACTTCTAATATGATAGCAACATTACAATATGCTATCATACCTTAACTGCGATCGATATACATAAAAACATAACACTTATTAATGTATAATTATTTCCAACATCAAGGAGCGACAGTGACAGACCAGACAAAGGAACATTAAGTACCTACCTAATGTCCCTTTTAAGAATTAATCCGTTAAGCTCAGAATTATTGTCCGTGACAGCACCCTGCTTCAACTTTGGACAATCGGGAGCTAAATGACCCAATAATTTGCAATTAGAACAATGCAGTTTTGGTTTGGGACAACGGAAAAACGGGTGACCCCGTTCGTTACAGTTGTAACAAGTAATGCCAAGCTGAGTTTTTTGGCCTTGAGAGATATTTGGCATTTTATCATTGTTAATAGAAGAGTGAATCCGTTTCTCCCTGTCCGTAATCTTAGCAGAGTCATTTATTTTGTCATTTCCTACTTTGACAGATTTAAAGAAATTTAGTACTTGTTCGGGCTCTTTAAACTCAGCACTTTGCCCACCAACGCGTACATTACGATCATCAATACCAGCAAGAAGACAATCTACTGCACGCCTGCCCGTTATTTCGCATCTGTTTAGAAGATTCATTTTTGTGTAATAGTACAAGTCTAAGGATTCCCCATAACGAGCACGCTTATTTAGCATTTCGGTTAATAATTCTGCGTAGTTTTCTCTTGCTGGAAATGACTCGCGAAGTTTTATTTTCCATTCAGACCAAGAATGGAGAAGAGAAGGTAATCCTTGATACCAAGTTTTAGCAATACCGTTAAGCTTAGGCATCGCGTAGTGTACTATCTGTCTGTCGTTCCAACCATAAATCTGAGCACATTCGTCAACCTTATGTATCCACGACTCTACTGTCTGACCCTTATTCAAAGGATCAAATTCTGGTACGACATTTAAGACTGGGAACCTGTCATTGTCGCTATTCGGCTTCATATTAACTATTACATCAAAAAATTTCTTGAAAAACACATTTTGAATATCCTCAACATTACTATTATTATATCTAGGTGAAGTATTAGGAATCGGCGAACGAGACTTTGTTATCCTTGATCTGGATCTATCAACAGACGACTTTCTTTGATCCTTAGAATGAATACATCTCAAATGCTCACGTGACTTCCGTCTCGAAGTGGATCTGGAGTGCCTTGAACCTCTCGAACGTGACCGGCGGCATCTCGCCCTACGCATGTTTGGTGATCGAGAAACTATGCGGCCTCTTGATCTGCTGCAACTGTGACTTCCAGCAACGACTGTTTCATGACGACGGGGTGTGGCTGTCTTTCTCGACTTTGACCGTCGGCGATTCTTTTCTTCTTCCATGTTTCAACACTTGTATTTTGTCTTTGTCGTTTGTAGGCGTCTTCTTCTTATCCCACTTCTGAGTTATGATAATTCTTTACCATTATAAGCCCAGAAGGGCGCCGTTGTGAAATAACAGCACGAAACTTACTTTTCCTTTACTTTATTTATGGAACACTTATAATCGTTCGTTTCAGTTTCACGACTACTATCGCACTGAACGCTTTCGCTCCATCTTACACCAAGAAGCATCTTTTTTAAAAAAACAACACTGATGCCTGATTGGTCGGTTACCATCGACCAATCAAACATCAACCGGAAATGCTTCTTATAATCAGTTACCAATATTTATTTACTGATTAATAATGTATGATTTACATAAATAAACGGAAAGATTAATTAAGTAAATTATACCATAGGTTTATTAAATTGTAACACTTGATTAGTCCGTTTCGTAGATCTATTAACAATTCAACCGGTGTGTTTAAAAATCGTTGATATACTCTCAATCGGATGTATCGAAAAAAGATTTATAAAATAAGAATGGATACCGGAAATATTTGTTAAATGATTTATGAAATTATAAGTATTACACCCAAATACCATCCTACATATCAATTGATAAGGGAAATAGATAAATGAACTATAA